ATATTTGATACCTAGTTACTGGGGTTCCTTCTCGCTAGTAATACCTCCGCATTTCTTTAAAATGAATAGGTCATTATTACATTTATAACCTGATGTCTGCAGTAATGACCAAAAGAACTGAACTATTTTTTATCACCGATAATGAAAGGTCCCCTTGAGTCATATGTCTTCTACAGCGTTCCTACACTCAAACTTGACCGTGTGTCACATTACAAAATGGAAAACAATAAAATACCCAATTCCCATCAATAATCTGGCATTGTGTCGTATTAAATTATGTATCTTAAAAATGGAGAGCTATCAGAGAATTTGTAGGTTTAAAAATTGCACCAATAATTTTGTGAGCACATGAGAAAAAAAGTGGAGTTAAACATTTAAACTATGCTGACGATTTCAAAAGTTAATTTCTAACTACTGACGCAATATCTATTATTAAACTACCCTTTTATCATCGTAGAACCAAAGGTTTGAACATTTGTCGAAATAAATAAATAAATGGTTAATCAAATCCAACCGTCATTTTGTGAGTTCAGGGCATGAGGAAACGTTGAAGAAAACAGACACGTGCCCTTTGCCATTTTGATGACGTAATCAATTAAGATAACGTGGTTAATCTGAGATATTTTTGTACTTATACAGAGAGTCGAAGGTGTAAGATGTCATTGGGATGTTTTCTTAATATGCCTGGGTGGTAAATGATATATTTTATGGGACGAGATTATCATCATCATGGCTTCACAATAAAAAAAAATCGTTCAGAATCTCTCTCTCTCACACGCTTTCTCTGAGAGAGAGAGAGAGAGAGAGAGAGAGAGAGAGAGAGAGAGAGAGAGAGAGAGAGAGAGAGTTTCCGAGAGCATCAGTATCTAATAACAAAACATTAAAGATCTTTCTCTCTCTCTCTCTCTCTCTCTCTCTATCACCACATTATCAATATATCAAATATCATATTATAATTCTGCTTCTCCTTTATTTCTTTTTTCATTTTTTATTATTTCATCCCCAAGTAAGGCAATAAAAGCCACTAGGATACAAGAGGTTAGTGAGAGGGAAAAATAGAGATACTAATAAAAGAACAAGATTCAGTGAGACAGAAGATGATGATTGATATTGCATTTAATCTTTTGAGGATCGTAGTTGACAGGAAAGCAGGACGAGAGTTCCATAAGTGCGGGAGAAGAAACTATTAGTATAGGAATTACGGTTTCAACTAGCGATTTCAACAGTAAAATTATGAGACCTAACTGCCAAACTTGTACTTCGCTTAAATGTGTGATACCAAACAGGAACGCTCATCAGCAAAAGTACTGTGAACATATTTATAGTGAAAGGACAGGGAAGAGAAAAATAGCAACATAGAGGCCAATATGAAGCTGAAGACTTCAATCACGATTTTAAAGGCGCAAGAACAAGATATTAACGTTTATCGAAAAGTGATTAATGGAAGTCTTTTTTAAACATTTTATTTCAGGAGACCAACATAAGAGTGAATTGAACAAAGATGATTTCCTTCTCTTTTTTGTTCAAATTCGATTTAATTTAAGAAAGAATTTAAAAAAGGCTGTTGGTTTCCTCATCCATTGATGATGGAATCAACGGAACTTGTTACGTCCGATGAATGAAGGCCTGAGAGAAAAGTCGACTCAGGAAGAACAATGCAATGCTTTGTGTTTAGGATTTCCGCAAGAATTTTTCATGGCGCCAAACTGTCTTTGGTGGTGTGTGGGATTGTAAAAGTTTGTCAAGATAGTAAATTATTGTGTTAGAAAAGTATATAATAATAATAATAATAATTATAATAATAATAATGTGCCCTAAGGCGTAAAGTATTGATTAGCGAGCTAATCTATCAAATTCTAAGTTGTATAATGAGTTCGATCCTCGTTGGGCGCTCCTCAGTTTTGACTTGAACTTACTAAATTTTTAGAGCAATTATTAGTGCACACATATATAAACGCTCATACACGTAAAGGATCACAAACCGGCGAGCAATGGTTAACAAGTTAGTCACGTAGGTCATTAGAGTATTTTGTTCTTCTTAGCCGAACACCACCAGAGTTCTTATGCCAGACGAAGCTAATTTTAGTAAATAAGGAATCTCGCTATCGAGGAATGGTTAGTACACGCGCGCACACACACACACAGGAATAATGTTTAACAAGCTAGTTTCACCGACCATTGCAACTCGAATAAATTGGATTTTTACTGGGTGCCCCATACTTGTGTTTAATAAGTACCTACGAGATAACGAAGAGGACTTGAAAACAAATCGGACGAAGAAGAGGAAGAAAAAAAGGAAATTATTTATAGAAAAAAATGCCAAAGACTCACTCACTCCTTTCTTTCTGTCTGTCTGTCTGTCTGTCTGTCTGTCTGTCTGTCTCTCTCTCTCTCTCTCTCTCTCTCTCTCTCTCAAGGCATTGATAGAATGAAATACACATAGGGGAGTGTTCCTGGGTCAACGACTGTGCTATTTTTATTTTTGTCATAAATGTAAAATGAATAAGGAAAATTTTAACGATAAGGACATTTTATCAGAAACCCTGTTCAATACATATGTAGGCAACAAATTTTAATTTAAGCAGTTTTATTAAAAAATCACAAAGTTTGTTTTAACAATACTTTTAGTTTTTTATGTATTTATGAAAAGAGTTTTTTTTTACATACGTTATTTTCATTATGTTTTAAACAAAAAGTAAGCATTACGTTTACCAAAATCCAGTTAATTAATCCTTACATTTACGAAATGATTCAAAAATATATCTCTAGGACACATATTGGAAAGTTGTTACATTTTTCGTCTGTAATGGCGGTTCGATGTGTCGATGAGTGACGATTGAACGTGTCAATGCTTTAAAATGCCTACAAACTTGATTTATACATGGTAATTATTTTTTCTTTTAATTCGGAGTATCTTTCAGAGAAAACCGAAATTTAAGTTCAAAGAAGATATTTAAATTATTTAAAATGTATTTTTTGTTTTTCTTTTAGGAATTCCGTTTTGCCGTTCTTTTCTAAGATCTTATTAGGCAATGAAGAGATTAACAATAACTAATAATAAAATCAAACATTTCTAGAAATAATATGATTTACATGAAGGATCTTGACGTTTAGACCGTAAATGAAATATTCCCAACCTCAACATACGATCTTTTATCTTTGTTTATTAAAATAAAAACGTTTACTTTTTTTTTTACACTTTACAGTTTCTATTTGCAACATGTCAGTTAACGTTGCTACTTTTGCATTTTACGACCATTATGAAGTAAAGCACATTAATCGTTTATTTATGCGTTTTGATTGCAGTTAACTGAAGCTTAGAAAGCAGAGCCGTGGATAAGACAGTAATCAGTTTATTTTCATTTCGACTTATATTATTTATCTGCTTTGTCTTTCTGGTTTTGATTCAAGACGAAGTTACATCTCATATTTATTTATTTTTCATTGAAATAAGTGGCTTGATAAATACGAGTTTAAAGCTTCTGAAGCTTTTGAAGCTTTATCAAGTTTATATTTAGTCGAATGCAACTCGACATCACCCCACCCGTTACCCGATGCAGGGTGGAGTCGAAGAAACCTAATTTTGCGAAGATTGAGGTGAGTCTACAAATAAAAACACGAGCTTTGAGCATTAGTCCGGAAAGTAGTGGGCGATTCTTATTGCGTGTTTGGAAAGACGAAATTACAAATGACCTTCTCGGTAGAAGTCGGCTAACTCTTATTCTTTAAATCTTGTGATGTAGATCTATAGGCGTGCTCTGTAAAAATAATGTTGTTTATGAATCCTGATGTCCTTTGGGAGATTGTACCGAAAACAGTAATAATCAGTAAACAACATTAAATTTTTACATTGGCCACACATGTAGCACAGTCTCTCGCAGGTTGCCTTGTTTTTTATCAAAATTTAGTGCAAATAGTATATATATATATATATATATATATATATATATATATATATATATATATATATATATATATATATATATATATATCTCATAGACAAGGCAAATAATATTAACATAAGACACATTTTATAGATATTACCAAAATATTATATAGGATTCATTGCAAAAAAGACTTAAAATTCCCAAAGCCATTATAATACAAAAGAAACAACCAGCATTAAATAAAATATCTTTCTCCCTGGGCGGTCGTATATTGAAGTGTGGATAAAAAATGCTCAAGTGGAGATTCAGTTTGACCGTTGCAGATGACGTCATCTTTAAGTGACTTAAATGGGGTGCTGAAAGTTTCTCGGCCCGACCCACCTCCAAGAAAGGCTTACCATAAACCATGGCCGTCGTGGCATAATACGCAGGGAGAAAGTTACAGCAAAATTTTTGTAGAACTGGAGTGCACCTTATATTGAGAGAAATACGATATATCACACTTCGTTCATTAGATTTAAACAATTGAGCGTAAATGCTGAAACATGTAAAAAAGAAAGAACATGAATATCCCACAATCTCACTATAAAAGTAACACACACACACACACACACACACACACACACACACAAGCAAAATAAATAAAACATAAATCCAGTATTCTTCCCTTATCCGCGCTATATATTCTATGGTCCACAGAGAATGCCTTAATAGCGAACACTACTATACTGTATTTTTTATACATACTATGATAGTTAATTAGTACATTACATTAGACACAATAAAAGATTAATAATAAGTGGTAATAAAATAGAACAATTATAACAAAATAGTGTAATAAAAGTAATAAGATGGGTAAAAAATTGTTCTTACCGTAGATTTCAGTATCCTCAGTATATTTTTTCTTTGCTTATTAAATCGAAAACTTTTCTCTTAAAGGAAGTATTTTACGTTTTCTGTTTGGCATTCTCAAATTATCATAATCACTACATTTGTTCTTATGAATTGTTTATTACTAGGCTTGACTGCATTTAACTGACCACAGAAAGCGAAACTACAGATAAGAGGGGACCACTGTAGTAGTAAAATAAAAATGAATAAAAATTGACCTACCTTTGATGTTTCAACACCAAATGAATCTAGCATTTCGTCGATATTTTGGTAACCCTGGAATTTGGTGTCATCTCCGTCCCATCCGGGGACTCGGATAATCTTGGGTTTCCGAGCCTTCTCGCATAGATCTAGAATATCTCGCACAGTGACGTCTCCTTTGCGTCGCTGTAATTTAGACCACATCATCTCAGACGTGTGGGTAATCTCAGCTTTGGGTGGCACATACTTCATTTTACCTACAGAAAGGTCGGCGTTGTTGGTCTCTTTTGGCCCGACGATCTTTCGTTCTTTTTTAGTCGCTTCCTTTTTAGATAATTCTTGCTGCTGTTGTTGTTGTTTTTGGGCATCTTCGGCAACACGTTTGTTGAAAATGTCGAAGGCTCGAGGCTTGGATTTTACCGGTTGCGGAGTCGGTGACGTATCGTTGGCTGTTTTGGCTGTCGTATTCGTAGTTGTCGCCGTAGAAGCTGATGTGCCAGAAGGAACACGTTTGTCCCCTTTCTCTTGGGAGATCTGCGAAGAACAATAACACAGATTTAGAATTTTATTCCAATAACACATGTCTGACAGAGCTTTCATTTTGGGATGCTTGACTGGACGCCTTCCCATTAATACCTTGGTGTTAGAGAAAGGTTGCGTACACTTTCCGGACAAAAATAGTTACTATGACAACTTTTAGTCTTGAAAAAACTTGTCATCTCCTGACCAAACACAGAAGACGTAGGACTGGTGTAGACAGTTATGAAAAATTATCATTACGTTTAGAAGAGTCAAAAAGTATGAGATATAAAGACGACAATCACAAGAAAAAGAGCAAACAACTGACTTGATGGTTAGGAAAAATATTTGAGCTTTAAAGATATTACATCAATTGCCGGATTTCAATACATAAATATTGACAGAAGATCCTGAAACAACAACAACAACAACAACAACAACAATAATAATAATAATAATAATAATAATAATAATAAAACCGTAAGGCATTCGATAGTTTACCCCATTCCTGGATCTTAAGGCCTTTAAATATATACAATGTATCAACCGTCATCATCAATTTCATAAAACGAATTATGTCGATATGGAAAACACTTCACCTCAATCATATAAATGAAATCTATTAGTCTGGTGAAATAACATCAACAGAGGAATATTTCAATGTGACTCTTTGTCTCTCTTACTGTTTTGCATATCACTAATAGCATTAACCAGCGAACTTAACAGGACAGAATATGGCTATAAAACACCTAAAAAAAAAAACGAAACAAAAAAAACAAAAAAACAAAAACACTCTATTTTACATACATGACTTACAGTTGTATGCTAGAAGTGACAGTGAGCTGGAAGGTCTCCTGAAAACAGTAAAATGTTTTAGTGATGGCATTGGAATGGAATTCGGTTTGGATAAACGTACTAAAGCCACAATTTTACGAGGACCACTACAACAAACCTCCTCTATTAGCCTAGACCCTGGGGTAACAATCAAAGATTTAGAGCAAGAAGAAGCTTATAAGTACCTCAGTGTAAATTAGGATGAAGGAATTCATGATAAAAATGAAAGAAACAAACGAGATTACATTTAGTAGATTCTGTAGAAAACCAAAACAGAACCCAAGAACCAACTGTTGCAGCCAAAAATATAGCCAAAGATAAAGCTCTTGAACAGATGAAACAACGCTGGCAAGACAAACCTCTGCATGACCAATACCCAGAACGTGCTAATAAAACCGATATTGATAAAGTTAACACTCATCGATACTTATGAGCATCTGGATGAAAGGCTGAAACAGAAGCCTTTATTTTTTGCACTAGGAACTTTCAGGCAAATATCATACATAAAAGTATGAAGCCAAAATGCAGGTTCTGTGACAAATATTAGGAAAACATAGACCTTCTAATCTTAGGATGTTCTGTACTTGCGCCAAATGGATATAAAAATTGTCACTATAGAGTGGTGTAATATTTGCTCTGGACAATGTACAAACACTTTGGAAAAGATGATAACTAACACTGGTATGAACATCACCCAGCACCGGTTACAGAAGTAGAAGACATCACAATTCTACGGGATTAAACCATCTTTGCAGACCGGAAGTCTGAAGCAAATAGGTCGGACATAATTGTCAAAAGCCGAAAAGAAAAAAAAAACTTGCCTACTAATTGATTTGGCTTGCCCAGTGGACTATAACATAGTAACCAAGGAATTTGAAAAAACTATCGAAGTATAAAGACCTTGAAATCGAAATTGAAAAAATGTGGAAATTGAAAAAATGTGGAAATTGAAAAAAGAATAGTACCAGTCATTGTAGGTGCGCTTGAAATGATAAAAAAGGGACACAACAGCACATTGAAAAAATCCCTGGAAATCCCAGCTTGAGAGAAATACAAATTATCTTGATAAGTACAGCCCACACACTAAGAGGAACTTTGCCCATATAAGGCTAGTGATGTAATGGGAGTTGGAAAAACAATTCATGAAATGTAGGCATAACACGCCACCACCTGCCTTATGTCTTTCCACGGACTTGGTAGCTCGTATGACCAAAAGCCACCTAAATACAACCCATACACCTGATTAAGTGAGAAGACTCAATGAGTAAAAAACAACAATCATTAGAGGAGAAGATTTGAAGTATTGGAGATTCTCTATCTGTGAGAATTAGAACGGTATTTGAAATTTGAAGAGTCTTGCTGTCACACATTCCCTAGTGACAATCACTACGCATCTGCTGTGAACATATAATAATAATAATAATGACATAATGATAATAATCTCGTAAATGTCATGAATAGCCTAGGAAACGACTAGAAGAACTGGAAACCAGGGGAAAAATCGAAACCATTTTGACGGCAGCATTACTGGACTATGAAGAGAGTGGTGGAAAAGTATACAATCTAGATTTTATTTCCTTATATTTTATCTAAAATGAGAAAAACACTTTGTTGACATCGTATTTAAAACGATTCAAGTGACATAATTTCTCTCTTAAGGTTTGCCCTGGAGACAGAATTATTTTTTTTAAAAAACTTTTTTGCTAAATATCTTCACTTTTCCGTACACAGACAGCCATTAAATAAATGGAAATGGTAACCAAATATGTCTTCCTATGTATTTCTGCTATAATCGGACTAAATTAATCATAATATAAATGTGATAAATTTGTTTATTTGTTATTTTCAACTAATATCTCTTTTATCCGAAGAAAATACACACACACGCACGGGGTAGATTTTTCTAGTTCCACGTGCCATGCCTATTCCAGATGTTTAGTTATCTCCCTTTAACTCAACTCTTCAAGTTTTGTTCACCACTTCAGTAGCCTGGCATTGAATTCACAACTCTTTAGGTCAAGTCACTGGATCAAACAGTCCAAACAATATAAATAATGTAAATAATTACAATACCTCATATCAGAAATATAGACGGATGCTAACTCACAAAGGATAAACAATTTAATAATACCTGCTAACAAAAATTCTTAAATGACTAATATGCATTCAGAAGTGAAAATGCGGATGTAGATGAACACAAAACCCATCAATGACTGAAGATTACAGGACTAAAAGCAGAGACAGAGGCATTTATAATGCTTGCATAGAACCAAAGCATATTTACTAGAAATTACCAGGTGAACATTATTAAAAATGCCTCAGACCCATTATGTAAATAAAATGTTGAGACTATTAACCACTTGGTGTTTGGTTATCCGATCGTAACACTCAAGATCGGCATAATAAGATTGGGCAGTATATTTAATGGAAAAATGGTATGAACATCACCCTGAAGCAGTCACAGAAAGCCATTCTTTGGATTCATTCATACTGAAAAACATATTATGTAAGATGAAACAAATGAAAACCTGTTGGATATTTACATTTTTTATTTTCTTGTTGACATTTTACTCTCAACGATTACTATCAAAACAACTGAAAAAAATAAAAGCTAATAGAACAGATATAATGATTAAAGACAGCAAATCCCAAATGCCTTCTCATAGATGTAGCAGCGTCACCAGATAAAAAAACTATCTATTAAACAATATGATAAAATAAGTAAATATAAGGACCTTGGAAGTGTAAAATATATATCTATAATAATTCGAGCCCAGAGTATAATAAAAAAAGTAGACCGGAACATTAACAAAATACCTGAAAACCCCTGTTTACAAGAGATTAAAAAAATATACTATGTGGAACTTCACATCTACTCAGAAGGGCATTATCAACGAAAAGAAAATATAAATACGCGCAGGAAATAGAACCAATGCAATTACAAAATGACTTAAATACGCTGTCATTTTTTTTTATCGTACAAGTAACATAGTAAATAACAATTGATTATAGTTCACCTAAATAAACTAGGACAGCTTAAAACTATTAACAACAATAACAGAAAAATATCCTTACTTGTCTAGACGTTCCTCTTCTTTCGTCCAACATGTCTTCCATCGAACTTTGTCTGCTTGTACTACGTCCCGGCAAGGGCGGTTTCCCGCCTCTCGCATAACGATTAGGCGAATCCTCGCGCGAAAAGCCGCCGCTGTCACTGGCTCCTTCCAAACCATCTCCATTTTGATCTTTACGCGATGTTTGCCTTCGGAAGCGGTTGTAAGGCGACGACTGTCTTGGACTCGAACCACTCTGGTTGCCCAAACGATCATCTAAGAGGTCTTCCCGGGAATTTTCTCGCTTGATTCTTCGATTTGGATCGTTCGACGTCTGCCTAGAAACAAGACCACCACGTCTGTTCTGGGCATTTGGCGAGTCATCTCTGGTGAAGGCGTCAGAAGAACTGCCGGAACTTTTACCGAGTTTACAGCCTGGCGTTCTTGGAGACTGCGGCTCGTTTCGTTGGTAATATTCAATACCAGCTTTATTTAATTCCGATTTTCTGAAATCTTTGTTCGGTAAGGAGTGGTCCCTAATATCGCTACTTTCCAACTCATTGGAATTGCCTTTGGACGGGTGTTTGCGTGCGCGATATTTATTTCGACGGTTGGGAGAGGAGTCTCGCGAAAACATAGTCGGGGACTCGTCCCGGGCGGAACGCGAATCTTGCCTCTGGGTTGCCTGTTTCCAATTGATTCCAGATCGTTCCGGAGAATCGCCTCGATTCTCCGGTCTCGGGGACCGGTAACTGTCTTTGTTAGTTTCGGCTCCCACTCCCGGATGCCTATGAGGCTCCGGTGTAGGCAGGTTTTGTTTCCACTGTTTGACTTTTTTTCAATGCTGTCCCTCAGGGAGAGATTCTCAGGGGTCAGCGATGCATTTTCGGCTAAGGCACCATCAAGCTGTCGCTCTTTGCTACCATGTCGACGACGTCTTGGCTTGTCGTCAAGAATACTATCTCTTGAGGTAGAGCGACTAAAGCCGTGTCGACTGTCTCTACTGCTCCCTTGAGAGCGTTTTTCCTTACGGGAACCCCTTTCTTCGTAGTCGTAATTTTCGTGTCTGGGCTCGGGGTTTGGTGTGCTTGTTCTGGGTTTCCATCTTGAGCTTATATCATCATCTTCAAAGGCACTTGTCATGTCTGAGTCACATTCTTCTGCTGGAACTCTTCGTCTCGACGAACGGGATGGTGCGGGTGACTCGCCGTAGACCGCCTTACGCCATGTTCTTTCAGAGGGGGCATCACTAACGGTTCCATCGGCTACCGAGTCACGATAAGTGTCCCTGTTTCTCCTGTTGTATCCGTTACCAACTGTTTCGCCACCGCCCCCACTGCTACCCATCCCTTTTATCGGCTTGCCACCGGCTTTTTCAAATCGATCCCTGAATGTGCGGAACCCGTCTTTCGACTCTTTGTTATTACCTCCGTCCTCTACTCCGTTCCGTTCAATCCTTTCTCCTCCTCCTCCTCCTCCTCCTCCTCCTCCTCCTCCTCCGTCCCTATTATCTCCGCGACCTTGCCGGGATCTCTTGTCCCTCTGGTTTTGGTCGCGGTCACCACCAGTCGTCACTGTTTGTGTGGAGTTGTCCTTTGTAAGGGCTTCGCTGCTTCGAAAGCGGCGATATGTTTCTCGTCTTTCTTTCTTCGGAAGCTTGATACGCTTTGTTCTGGCGATCGAGTCAGATTTGTTACTGTCCCGTGACACTTCTGGACGGGGTGATGTACCTCTGCAGATGAGATACCTGAAGCGAAAAAAGATATTTAAAAACAGCAATCATTAAATTAATAAAGTTTGATTTCAATAAAGTTATGAGGAAAAATATTTTTTCAAATCAACGAATGTTAATGAGACATTGTGAGAAAATCGGCAAGTAGCAGGAATGAAATTTCAAAATAACAGTGAAAAATATCGGACATTAATCCCATTCGTTTTGTTGGTAACATAGCGTTTCATTCCATTCAATCGACGGTCTTCTTCAAGTGAACGAAGACCTATTTTAACATTATGAGAAGAGTCGCCATTCCATGAGTTGTTCAGATTAGTGATCTCATTTTCTTTTGCTACTACAATATTTAATTTTTTAGGGTAGTACACACCATATATGATTTACACTACCCGAAAGAAGATCATCTTTTGTTTAATATGAATTACACAAATCTTTTGTTTAATATGAATTACACAACTGAAGAAGGTCGTAAACTGGATTCCAGACCCTGCCTTCTTCAGCTGTGTAATTCATATAAAACAATATTATATATATATATATATATATATATATATATATATATATATATATATATATATAAATATATATATAAAAAGCTTTTCTTTTCAAAAAAGATAAAAACTCTTCTAAGGTAAAAAGTTATTTATGGAGTTCATATTTTTATTGTTTAAAAAACAATAAATATTTTGAAAATTAAGTCGACGTAAGAATGTTTATTACAGAAGAATATAAAGCTGAGCTAATTATGAAATCAAATTGAAGTTGTGTTAAGATTATGAGTCATAAACAGATTGGAATGTAGACAGTAGATATTTTGACTGATAAACAGATAAGTGGGAAAAAATTGGGAATGATAAAAAGAGAGCAACAGAATGAGATAAGCATAAATATATATTGATCTAAATAGATAGGTCAAAATAATTCGATACATTCGATGAAGGGAATGTTTGCAAATGAGAGAATTTTGAAGAAGTTGATAAGTGATGATAACGATAATAATGTGATGAAGAAAGAAAGAAAAAAGAAAGAAAGAAATAATAATGTGATGAAGAAAAGAAAGAAAGAAAGAAAGAAAGAAAGAAAGAAAGAAAGAAAGAAAGAAATTGTAAATATAACAGACGGGGGTGAAGAATAAAATTAGAAGATAAAAATTGTAGAATTGCGAAAAAGAACCTTAAACGAACAAGAAAATAAGATGAAAATGAGTTGGGACGGAGAAAAAAAATAAAATAAAAAGAAAATGGGAAGGAAACAGAAAGAAAAAATGAAATGATATAAAAGAGAAAAAAGTAAAATGAAGAAGATGAATGGGAAGTGGAAGAAGATAGAAAAAGGAAATGAGAAAAAGAGGAAATGAATGAAGGGATGTGTGAAAAAAGGAAGAAGACAAAAGAAAATGTGAAATAAAAAATAGAATAAAAGAAGATAAAATGTGGAAAGAAAACGAATATAAAAAGAATGCAGAAAGAGGGAAGTTGATAAGAAAGAAAAATAAAAATGCCAAGAAGAAAATGAAAGAGAAATAAAAAAGAAGTAAAAAGGAAATTAATAAAATGAGAAAAAAGAAAAGTAGGAATGAAAGAGAAAAAGAGTGAAATGCATAAGTATGCAAAAGAAAGAAAGAATAACAGAAATGAGACAAAGATGAGAAAGAGGGAGAAGAGGGAAAAAAAGAAAATTAATAAAAGGAAAGGAAGAGGAATTAAAAAAAGGAAGCGGAATGAAAAAGGAAGGAAACTCATGTAGTATTCGGGAAATGACAGTTGGGCGGGGGGAAGACAATGACAAGAGAATGCAGGAGGTGGTAACACTGAAAAGAGGAAATCACAGGCGTTGGTGAGTGGAAGAAAAACGTTTAAAAAAAAAACGAAAAAAGTACAGAAAATTTAAAAAACGATGTGTGGAAAAATACTTTACTATAAATAAAATGAAAATAAGAAAACTGAATAAATAAGAAAAATACAATAAAATAAATAGATAAAATTCTTTTTTTCTTATTGTTAAAAATTATTCTGGGCGGCAGCCATATTTTCCGTCTATACATTCCCGCCAAGTGAAAAACTTGGTTGCAGGAAAGAGACTGACAAACCACCTTTCTTTCTATCTTCCGGCAAATGATTACCAAGAGTTAGATGTTATTTATATTTTATTCAATGTTTACTATTAAGAAGATATATTAAAAGCACCCCCTTTTACTTCTAGTAACAAACATTTACTGTTCTTACTCTAACGAGGATAGCGAGCGAAAAGGTGAAACTACTAAGTTTTTACACTTGCTTACTACTAGACTCTATAGTTTTGATTGTAGTATAAATTATTGGCTTACCTAAAAATTCGATTTTGTCATTGAATGGCATTAGTAGCGCTTAGATCGCTTTTAACTGCTATTTGCAAAATAAATAATGACAAAATTGTTGGAATTTTGTTCATTGAGTCTAAAATAGAAAGCGAACAAAATTAAACAATAATTCTCGGCATATTATGCCACTTTATTGAGAAAATGCGACTCAAACGCAACAAAAGATTTGGGCAATAAGTGAAAGTATTCTGCCTGATTAGTTGTGTCAGAAACTTTGCGCTAAGCAATGCTCATTGGTCGGGTAGATCAATTCAAGTTGAAAGCGATCAAATCAAGGGAATAATTATTATATAAAGAATGCCGTAGATTACCACCATACTCAAAATATGTAATTGAATATGTAGTTGAAAATCCTTTACACTAGATTGTTACAAGCGTCGAAGTGTGGATTTAACATAAGCAAATATAACACAAAAAAGACAAGCGACTTTTTCGTGAACGATTATGACGAACGATGAAAAGTGGATACTTTAAAACAAAGTGGTCGTTGGGCAAGCAGAGAAACGATGCTGCGTATCTAGTGAGATTAGAAGGGATTTCTTTTCTCCGAGCTCCTTTTGTGAAATAAATGATTGATTGAAACAAGTACTGTTGACATTTAAAACATTTGAAAGCAATAATTGCTGAAAAACATTCGGAATTAGTTAAGAATGTTGTAATATTCCATTATGGTAATGCCAGACCGCATACTTCTGTTGGTAAGAAAATTTTCACTCATTTGCCACTTTTACCAAAAATTTCAACTTCCCATTACTATTTATTCTGGTTTTACATATTTTTTACATTAAAATATTTAATTTCCATGCTAAACAGCAAAAGTGCATAGATCAGTTATTTGAGAAAATAAAATGTTCTGCAAGGATAGATTTATGAAGTTGTCCCTAAGATGTTGGAATGTAGTGGAGCAAAATCGATAAATATGTTGTTCAATAAAGTTAATGTCGTAAATAAAAAAAAATATAGGAAAATAATATCTCAAACGATTTTTTTTCTACCCCATAGAAGCCGCTGTTTTCAGAAGATTTAACATAGGCATTTTCATTACTCCATGAATTATTTGGACTACTATCTTCATCCTTGTTGTTTTTATGACAACATTTTTGTGGATTTTGTCTTAATCGACGCTAAAATATATCTATGATTAGTTCACATCTTTTCGACTGCATGAATTTGCTATGTCATTCTCTGAATGTAGTTATTAGAGTGAATGAATATTTTAGTATATTTGTTTTATACAACCTACTGTAACGTCACAGATTACATAAACGCAGAGTTTATTTCATTAATAAATTTAGTTTTATTGTTATACAGTAGAGTATAATTCTTGATAGCAGAGGCTTCTTGTCTTCAAGTAAACCCCTTATTAGACAAATTTCTTACCTGAAATCACGTGTATTTTTCTCTGCTTCCGGTAAGCTATCGTCAGAATCAGATTCTTCGATTTTTCTTTGGCGACTGCTACTCTCCTGGCCTCGGTAGCTACGTGTTGCGCTACTAGTGGAAGGTTCTACTCGTCTACTGTTCCGAGTTGATGTTGGGGTGCTAGTATCTAACGACCGACCTGACGACGATCTACGTGTGTAATCGGTTCCGAAGTCCACTGATCTGTTAGAAGAAGGTTTTGGGTCTGCGTGGCTTGAGCGGCTCCGACGTGTGTAGTCAGTACCATAGTCCAAAGATGCTGACACTTGTCGTTCAAGTTTTCTTGCGCTCGGGGATACATCGGAGCCGCTTCTATAGGAAGAAAGGGAAGAATATGGCGAAGCACTACTGCTGTACTCGTATCTGAAGAAAAGAAGACAACAGTATGTTAAGATTATGCATATATATATATATATATATATATATATATATATATATATATATATATATATGAAAGATTATTGTCATGTTTGACAATGGACAGAACAACCTTTTGCTTTCATTGCTTGGGAAAATTTATTTTGCCTAAATGTTCTTTCACTTACTTCTTGTAAGTGTCATGACATAACAGGGACGATAGCTTTTTGTGGAAATACCTGACCATGGAATATAGCACAAGAATGATGTGTATTCGTACCATTTTCAAAGGAATTAATGCTTCTAGGATTTGAATACGGTTATCCATTTTCATTTCTCACGCGCGTGTGCACACATACATACAAGACGCTTAAATATTCAAACACAGAGACACAGCCATACATATAAAGACATTGATGGATTTTCATTGGAATTAGCACATCGAGAAACTACCACTAAGTGAAGTAGATATGATACTTGCATCATTTAAATCTATTAGTGACCAGTTTTTATATGTGGAAAAATTTGTAAATGAACAAATAGCATTCAAGTAGCATTCAATCCATGTCGAGAGCACGGCGTGGCCTGAATGTTACTTGTTTCCTGTGAACGCATTTGTATTAGTTTTAAGATAAAGAAAGTTCAGTTAAATCGTAACTCCTGTCATCTACGATGTGTCACTCACAACTTGAACTTAACTACACAAGTACTACTATTGATATCAATCAATTGCCGGCTATTTATGGACCATGACCATCAGGCTAACAAAAGTAACAGAAGCTGATATTACAGCAATAGTGAGAGTAATATGTTGTAGAACGATTATTATTGGAGTCTACATCTTGTAAATCTTGAACTTCAATGAAATCTAACCAGGTTCATAATAACAAAAGAATGAGAAAGTGCAAACGAATATTTTCAGTATTATTCTTCCAATATCTTAGATGGAGCATTGAAAACTCTAAATAATTAACCCACATTTATTTCTTCTTATTTCTTTTACCTTTAATCTCAACTCTCAGATCTATAATTTAAGACGTTCTAGTTAATAAATTCGATCAGAAATGGATCAATCTCCAACAAGACTTGAATAACAAGCTTGAAAGGTACGATAAAAAGTAGGAGGTATAAGATGAAAAACTAATAAGTAAAATTAATAATAATTGCCGAGGAATTCGATTATTATTATATCTAATATTACAAGTGTAATAAAAATTATGGAAAATAAGATGAAAGAAAGACTATAGTCTCTGAGAATTAATACAATGTGAACATAGACATCCGCAGCGGGAATTTGAATTCGGTCCTGTCATTCTGTTTTCCGTGCCGTTACATTATTCACACTTCATTCACAGTACAACATTTGCTCTATATGTACACAATTACAAAACGCCCAGATAAAAGCAAATGATTAAAGGAAATTTGTACTGTTTTGTTTTTATTTTGGTTTTCATTAAACTGTTATAAAATACAGGAGAAAAAATAATGCGCCAACATTATCTGGCTGTAAGTTTCCGTACAGCAACGATTATATTTGATAACGATCTCTTTAGTTTTCGTAAAGCTCTTCAGTTTTGGGGGTGATGTTCTCAAAAAGTACCATACTTATTTCGATATATCGAAAAGCTTCTTATAAACAAGCACCTGGGTAATCCTTTGGAATCCTGACTCTGCTGTACTTTCCCTCTACGAAGACTGTAAGCATCTGCATTTCTATGGTGTTCAAACTACCGCAAATTAAACAAAGCAATGTGATTCCATTTCCCATTTATTCTTAATAATAGTCGAGGCTGAAGGAGAAGAAAATTGTTGTTGCTTCAAGCGAGCAAACTGGTTTCTCACTTCGATTAAGCAGTTCTCTACAAATCAATCAGTAAAAATTAGAAAAATTATTGGGTAACTAAAAGAAAATCCGTTTTGTTTTCTTTGTTTTGTTGTCGTTAGCATTGTTTCAAGTTATTTCATTAAAAAAGAATGCTCTTGATTGTATTATGTTCGATTTCATATCAATGAAATTTATTTTTAAATGTCAAAATTGGAGTATTTTTAATCTAGTATTATTGAAAAAAAATTCAAGATTTTCGGCACCAGATATTTTATTTAATATTTTTAGAAAGGTAAAAATGAAACTGAAATGCAGAAAAGCTTTGTGCAATTGATTGAGAATGTACCATGAATATACGTACAGTATGTCAAAAATGATCTGCGAAGTGTCAAGCGAGACATTTCTCATTCAACATTGTTCAACTGATGGGTAGTCAAGTCGGAACTGGTAACAATCAAATCAAGAGATTATTTGAAAATAATCAAAGTTATACAATACGGGAGACATCCAACACCCTTAAAATATCCAAATCAATTGTTACATCAACAATTGTGTCTTCTACATATTAAACGAAAAAAATCCACTCAACCGTATAGTGAACCAAAAGATATTTGGTTGAATGAAGTTAATTTCAAAAATTAAAAAAAATATCTTTTATTTTTACTGAATGAATTCTGAGTGAAACTTTTCGTTAATCAATAAAAATACCTTTGCGAAGTTGATTCCTAGCAACGACCACCGTAAATAGAAATGCTGTAAACTGAAAACTGTTGCCTATCAATTACTATGGTTCTTCGATAACATTTCTCCGTCGATTAAAACGGTAATATACAACTATGTCACTCACCCTGCTAACATCATTAATTTTTCTCATGAGCCATCTTTAATGAAATAAAACTTTATTCATCTTTAGCAATACAATTCCGCAGAAAATGATTCCAATGGGTTTAGTGGATTACAGAGTTATGCATTTGCTATTGTTCCTTATGACCGGTGCTTTAATGTAGGTAAAAACCACAATATAACCATTTCTAACCATGCATGTACTCTTCACGTCAAAAGACAAACTATCCTCTTTTTAATGAACGTTTTCTTCTGTTGCCGCAAGGGTTAATTTACAAAGCTCAGTTTTTTGTTCAATTGAACTTCACGTATCTATTTATTCTCTCTTCTTGACAGTGATTATGAAGCGGGGGTTCGACTTTATTTAGACTGAAAATCTTTGGCGGGCTTCCATAGTCATGCCAAATTTATGTGAAGAATTCGCTTGAGTATTGATTTTCATGCTCACAATCAAACGGCGAGTCTCCCTCTTGACAGGTTTTCATTCTTTTGAAGACTACTGTCACGTTTACTGCTACTTTTAAATCTCCAAGGTCTTTGATGTTTTTTTTTTATATTATTCCATTTCGAATTTACTCTGCGATCCGATAATATCACCATTTATATGGTGTAACATGTTCTTTTTTCGTTGACGATTATTATTATACAATAATCGAACAATTTATATTTACTCTTTATTGGTTTTTCTTTTGATTTTTGAGCATATGAATCATAGTAAGTGGGTAATTATTCATGTTAGGTGTATAATAAGTGGATCACGAGCGTTTTGTGCTATTCTTACATCGTAATTTGTTAATCTGGCCATTGTAATCCGGATTTAGCTTATAACCATGGAAGTCATAGATTTCAAGACGTGGATCTGGCTTCTTCTGCATCCTCTACGAGGTAGAAATGGAAAACAAGGAATCACAAGTTTCTTCAGACTACCAATGCATATTGATTAAAGTTCTCTAGTTTAACACAAGGTAAAAATTGTGAGGCACGTCTTTAATAATATTCAAGTTTTGTGATCGGCTTCGTTTGCATATCCCACCGCTGTAAGAGTTCAATTTAAAAAAGTTAGGATTTCGAATGCTGACTTCAAGGCAGGAATGTCCTCATCACGGTGGACTTTTCTCTCCACTCTTTTCGGCATTTTCTTTTTGGCCTATTTACTATTATCATAATTACATCTGTCATTGTTGTTACGACGGATCGCATTCTGTTACTTTGACATGTGAATTTTTCAGATAATCGTTTGTATTGGTCATTTTAGAAGGCGAAACCTTTTCTTTTATGGAAACAGACCAAATGGAACGTAGAGGCCTTTTTTTCTGGGAGTAAATTTAGAAATGATGTATACGTAGATCCGGTTTTCCTATCTTTCTTATCACCGGAAGAAAGTGTTGTATTACGACTTCCGATGTGAAAAACTCCTTCCCCAGAACACCCTTTAAAAGCAAAAGATAAATATATGATATTAGTATAAAAGTTTCCCTATTTTTTGCACTCTCCAAAATGTGGAAACAGAGAATAGGGGTCGAGTCAAAGAATTATTCAATCACATCACTAATTTCCAAATATGTATGTTATTCACTGAGCTAATTTTAGTATGACATAAGGCCAAAAAGGCCTAAATTATGTGTATAGAAAAATTGTGATGCACCAGTCTCCTATGTTTGTCTGTCTTGAAAATCTATTCGCCTTGAGAATTAGAACGAGTGTCACTGGGAAATACGCAACTATTTCTAACATGAAGTAGTCTAAAATTGTTAACGTCTTCACATTTGGTCACTTTTCACGTAACTCCTGATTTCTTTTTTGGTTCAGAAGATTTTTAGGGGTTTTTGAATTTGCTGGAACCAAACAAGAAGTGTTGCATGGAACGAAAAACAAATGATCGTCTGAAGGTGACAGACCTGCTGAATATGCTTTCCAGGTCCATGATCATTTGTTGCGTTGTATTTACAACTTTAGGGCAGCCGTTATCATTTAGCAAAATTACTGATCGTCATCATTACAAGGAAAACTATTTCCTGTTCTAGTGTGTCATTCAAATGGGCCAATTGCTCATTGTATTTTTATACAGTAATCCACTTTCATTTATCCAAATTCCAAACATTTGTTAATAAAATTCCCTTTGGATCTCACAAAAAAAAAAAAAAAATTCCATAGAATTAGTTTATTGAGAAGTTAGAATACATTTTAGAGATGATCACGATTTTTTCTTTTAGGTTGTCGTACTGAACCCATTTTTCATGCCAGTGAATATCTTGTCTCAAAATAGCTTTATTCTAATTAAACAAAAAGATAATAATACGAGTTTAAATGTTGACCGATTTGTTTCCATAAATTCAGA